GACTCTTGTGTCTCAACCTCTTTAGACTGCTTTTCAGATACATCTACTGACTCTTGTGTCTCAACCTCTTTAGACTGTTTTTCAAATACATCTACTGACTTTTGAATTTCAATCACTTTGACCTGCTTTTCAGATACATATACTGACTCTTGTGATTCAATCTCTTTAGACTGTTTTTCAGATATATCTTCCTTAACAGATAGTAATGAAATAGGGTTCAGACTTTTTATCGAGATCATATCAGTCATTCTTTTTAAAGTGGGAAAGCTTAAATTATCATTCACCTGTACATCTATTTTTTGCTTTATCTCATTCGATTCATCTTCACTACATTGATCATCCATAACCAAGTCATCTCCTCCCAAAGAAAGTCTATAAGTAAAAAATTGGACAAAAAACAAAAAAAAAAAAACATTAACATAGACATGTTATGTAAAGATAATCCTTACCATCACTTCTAATTGGACTCATGATTTGCTCATTTATTTGTAATTTATCAGTAACGTTATCAACTTTATCAGATATTTTTTGAACGGATATATCAGTATTTTTTTCTTTGTGCATAGAAAAAATCTCACATGTTCGATGAAAGGAATAAAATGAATATTTTTCATAAGCGTCTCTGGTAAAAAATGAGTTACAATCAATTGGTGGTGAAGGATAATCGATATGTTGACTAATAAAAAAGAAAGTTTTCGAAACTAAAAAGCATTAAAAAAAAAGAATTGTTTAGGTTAACACGTTACAAATTTAAATAAAATTACCGTATGGTCTCCGCTAAAGGTTGATCGTGATTTTCGGGAGCTGCCTCGGTCTCAACAAAAGAAAATAATTCCTTATTATCACCGTTACTTCCATCATTTACACCTCGAATAATAGGAAGTGTGGGAACCAATTTTTTCTGCCGCGTAACAGCAAATTTATCGAGTACAGCGAGAGCTTCAAGACGTTCCATACTTGTGTTTGTGTTAGTTCGAATTCTTCTGTATCGCCATGGATATTATTCCATAATCACGTGACAAATACTAATGATCATAGTTAAAATTTTTAATATTCACGTGTAGATCTAAAATTTTTATATATCTAGATCTACAATTGATTATCATTCTCGAGTATTGGTATCGGTATTATTGAGTTAATCATGGCGGCATTTTTTGAAACGATCGCTAAACTTGCCCTTCCGATTGGTGCGGCTATTGGTTTAGTTCAATATAGCATATATGATGGTAAACTAATACACGCTTGTTTAAGCTTTCATTTAATAATATATTCCGGTTGCAACTTAAGTATTCATTTACTTAATTTATTTAGTCCAAGGCGGATACCGTGCTGTTATATTCGATCGTCTTAAAGGTGTAAAAGAAACATCAGTTGGTGAAGGGACACATTTTTTGTTCCCTTGGTTACAACGCGCCATTTTATACGATGTCCGTATCAAACCCCGTAATATCTCCACAACGACCGGATCAAAGGATATGCAAATGGTCAGTTTGACCTTACGTGTTCTACATAGACCGGTCATACAACAGTTACCTCATATTTACCAAACCTTGGGAATGGATTATGATGAAAGAGTATTGCCTTCTATTGGTAATGAAGTGTTAAAATCTGTTGTTGCTCAATTTGATGCCGGAGAATTGATTACTCAACGTGAAGTTGTGAGTTATTTGTTGATTTTTGGGTATGTACCTCTACTTATTCATATGATTTTCGGCATCCTAATTGGACAAAATTTCGTTGGCGTCATTAGGTTTCATCAAAAATACGCGAAGATCTTGTAAAAAGGGCTAATGAGTTTAATATCGATTTGGAAGATGTGTCAATTGTAGGCATCTAACTACTTTTTTTTTTAAACAAAGTATTTTTTGTAACGCATACTAAAAAAAAAAAAAAAATGGAATTCTCGGGTAATATAATAGACTCATATGACTTTTGGTAAAGAATTTACAAATGCAGTAGAACAAAAACAAATCGCTCAACAAGAAGCAGAACGAGCAAAATTCATCGTAGAAAAGGTAATATACAGTTTTTTTTTCCTCATCACGCCTAGTTGAATGTTTTTGACATTGAATTCAATTAATAAGGCCGAACAAGAAAAACAAGCCGCAATCATTCGAGCTGAAGGTGAAGCTGAGGCTGCAGACAGAATTTCTAAAGCTCTTGACAAAGCTGGTGAAGGATTAGTATTATTGCGTCGTATTGAAGCATCTAAAGAAATTGCAGGAACATTGGCGAGTTCGCATAATGTGACGTATTTGCCTGGTGGTCACGATGGTGGATCTAATTTGTTATTGAATCTTGGTGTCTGATTTATAATCATTAGCTTAGTATATGTCACTCTTAGATCTTATTATGCGATATAAGGCTTTTAAAAAAAAAAAAAACAAATATATTGTTTCTCTTCACAAACATTTACCATTATTAAGCAAATAGTAATAAATATTTGTATATCAGAAACTTTTTCAATTTGGATAAATTCTAGACTAAATATTATTCAATATATTTTCTCCAGTGATTAAAATTTGTCATACTTATATGTAAGAATTTATCTGATGAGAACATTCGGTGATAAAATTTTTAGATTGACAAGTCTGAGATGCATTTAGATCCAATTCTTATTTCTCATTCTGAAAATTTTTATTTTGTGTATGTGTGCATGCTTACGTGTTTTTTATTTGAGAACTTTTGCTATTTCTCACATTGCATATTGGTACACATTTATCGGTTAAACATTTTTCAGTAGTTAAAATTTGTCAAATCTGATTCAATAAACCTACCTGATGAAAGCATTCGGTAATTCTTATTTTGTGTCTGTGTTTACCTTACCCATGGGTCGTGAAATCGTGTGATATCATTAATTTTTTTAATGTTATTTCCAATTTCCCATTCTGTTGATTTTATAACTAGCTAGTGTTTTCTTCTAGTGCCCATAAGCACTAAAGAATTTGTATTAATTAATGGCAATTACCGTTACTATTTGTACACTAGTGTACATACACGGGGGTATTGTTGGGTATTGTTTTTTTTTCGAAACCACTTTTTGGCTTCTAACAAAAAAAATTCCTAGCTAAATTTTGGTATAAACTAACTCTCACCCCAATCCCAAACCTCACCCTTACCCTAGCTATAAGCAAGGATTTAATTTTTCTTTTGTAAAAATTTTGATTAGTATGCTACATGGATTTACAAA